CTTTTGTTAAGTTGTATGAGTTCCCTGTAAATGTTGGAGATTAAACCCTTATCGGAGATAACACTGGCAAATATGTTCTCCCATGTAGTAGGCTTTCTTGTTGTTTTGTTGATGGTTTCTTTTTGTGTGCAGAGCTCTTTATTTTGATGTAGTCCCATTTGTCTATTTTCTCTTTAGTTTCCATTGTCCTGGGAGCTGTATTGGTGAAGATACTTCTTCGGCATATATCTGAGATTTTGCTGCCTGTGTATACTCTTATTATTTTTTTAATTCTCACCTGAGAATATGATTTTTATTGATTTTAGAGAGAGAGAAGAAGGGAAGAAGGGTAAGGGGAATAGAGGGGGAAAGGGGGTAAGACAGAGAGAGAGAAACATCAATGTGAGAGAAACATCTATCAGTTGCCTCCTATATGTGTGTATGTGCCTGTGATTGAACCAAGAACCTTGGGTGTACTGAATGACATTCCAAACAACTGAGCCATCCAGCCAAGGGCTGCCTCTTCTTCTTGATGCAGGCACTTTCACATTTCTTGTAATACTGGTTTGGTGGTAAAAAATTCTTTAGCTTTTTCTTGTCTGGGAAGCCCTTAATTTATCCTTCAATATTAAATGATAGTCTTGCTGACTAATGCAGTCTTGGCTGTAGTTCCTTACTTTTCTTCACTTTGACTGTTTCATGCTAATCCCTTCCGGTGTGAAATGTTTCTGTTGAGAAATCAGCTGACAGTCTTATGGGAGCACCTCATAACTGTCTCTTACTGCTTTTAAGATTCTCTTTGTCTTTAATGTTTGCCATTTTAGTTATGTCTTGGTGTAGGCCTCTTTAGATCCCTCTTGTTTGGGGTTCTGTGCACTTACTGGACTTGTATCTTTTTTCTTCACCAGGTTAAGGAAGTTTTGGTCATTATTTCTTCAAATAGATTCTCAATCCCCTGCTCTCTCTCTTCTTCTGGTACCCCTATCACAAGGATGTTATGCCTCATGTATTCCCAATGGTCCCTTAACCTATTCTTTTTTAAATTTTTGCTGCTCTGATTACCAATATCTCTCTGTGGATATGCTGCTTATGAAGCTTCTTGGGTACTGCTCTGATGTTGTCTGAAGCTCGTGGCTCTCTTTGCGGTCTCTCACGGGGAAGATCTTCTGGCCAGGAGCTCAGAACTCATCTACTCAGGGAAGCTGATTCGAGTTACACAGCCACAAGCCAAGAGCCAGCAGAGGATGTTTTTTCTCTTTGACCACCAATTCATCTACTGTAAGAAGGTACAGTAAGAAGTTCTCTCTTTCCTGCTGGACAGCCTATTTAGAGCAGAAATGGAGAAAGTGAAGCTAAGGGCTAGAAGCAGCTGCCCAGAGAAAAGATGACACACAAAGGGCACCTTTTTTCCCAGAGCCTTCAGTATGGCAGGCCCTTCCCTGGTCTTGCCCTTAGGGCCAGGATAATGGTGGGAAAGTGAGTAACCCAGGGACTATAGGGTGGCCCTCACAGCCTGACCAGGACCCAGTACTATAAGAACACCCTCCTCTCTGAACAAAACCCAGCTTCCCCTCCCTAGCCCTGGAGTCTTCTGCTCCAGTAGCTTCCCTACCTCCTCTGTGCTGCTAGCTCTACTTCTCTTTTAAAACATTGCTAAGTAACTCTATCCAGAAGCCCTCCTGACAACTGACTTGGCCCAGGTATACCTGGTGCTCTTCTCTGCTGTGGTATGGACCCTGGCTCACTAACTGTATCCATGCTGCTTGCCCACAAAACTACAGGTGCCTTTTAAAGACCCTCAGTCTAGCCAATAACTTAACTAAAGGAGTGAGGCTCTTCATCATAGATTTGGCACATAATTGGGGGCTGTACTAGGCTCACTATGCCCTTGTGAGCTCATCCTCTGCTAGGAAGGTAGTTGTGTGGCCCATCAGCCCTTCCAGTTACAGGACAGTGAGTGACACAGGGTCTTAAAGATAGTCAGGAGAGCAGTTCAAAGTTTGGGGAGGGATCCAACAAGCAGGCTGGGCTGGCAGCTCATGGTGCCTCTGGCAGGACCTTCTACACCAGGATGTGCTGTATTATAAAGGCCGAGTGGACATGGATAGTTTAGAGGTAGTGGATCTAGAGTACTGGAAGGATAAAGACCTCCACATGAGCATCAAGAATGCCTTCCAACTGCACTATGGAACCATGGGAGAGAGCTACCTGCTGTGTGCCAGGAAGCCTGCAGAAGCAGTGCTGGCTCAAAGCCTTTGCCAGGGAGAGGGAGCAGGTGTGGCTGGACGAGAAGACAGATGAAATACCCCCTCTCAACTTTGCTACACTGCAAGGGCCCACCAGGCCTCCTTACCCTGGAATGCAAGGTCAGGACAACCATTGACTGGGACTGCATGTCTCATAGACCAAGGGTCTCCGGGTTTGGTGAGGCTCCAGGGTCTCTTGATTTCAGCCCCAGGGAATGGTTCTGCTGGCCTTTTGTGAGGGGAGGGGTTGCTTCCAACACACGTACACTCAAGTGTGCTCAGTTGCAGGGATAACACTGGAGTGGGAGGTGGGACTGACCTCCAGAAGCCTGTCCCATCCCCATATGAGCAGGGTATCTCCCCACCACATTCCCCTCCTATCCATGTGCCCCTTGTCCTCATACTCAGCAGTGACCAGATTGGCTCTTGGCTTGGGAAAAGCCTCTGGTGAAAGATGGGGTAGGGCAAGGGGAGAATGTAGGGAGGGCTCTGAGAAGGGCACCAGGAGGAGCACCTTGGCTCTCTCTGGAGCCAAGGCCAGCTGACTGAGCAGGACACAGTCCCTGCAGCATGATGAGCCCTGCACACTGTAGAACGAGTATGGTACACAGAGGACTGCTCCATGGCCAGGAAGCATAGGACAAAAGGACTGTGGGCAGGGGCGGAGGGGAAAATAGAAGAGCAGCAAAGTCCTGGCAGGGAAGCAGGTATCTCATTTGTGCCCCTCGCTCCCAGGCTTCTCCATCACTAAGCTGCAGAGGGAGCAGGCCATGCTGAATGCCAGCAAGCAGCAGGCACCTAGGAAGCCCAAAGGTAAGCAGGTGGTAGTCCAATATCCACTTTAGAAGCCTAGTCCTGATCAAACCCTTCTCTGACACCCAAGACAAAGTGAGCTAGCACCTAGGTCCTCAGTTACCCATTGCCCTTTGCAGGTGTTTGTTCCCAAAGGCTGGTGATAAGGGGTCACCACTGATGAAACTTATGTCAGTATGCATTTGGAATTCTTGCTCTCTATCACCTCAGACAACCCTGCTCCCAAGCAATACCATTAGTAATAGTGACAGTGCTCACTTCCCCAGGTCTGCTTTGTGGCAGTCATCCTCACAGCCACCTTATATCCCCATTCCCACAGAGGCACTGAAACTGCCTCGCACAGAGCCTATGCCATGGAGAAGCTGCAGGGTCTCACACCTTCCAGGTCCCTTAGCCCTCATCTCTGCACTCTACAAGAGGGTGGCTCAGGCTCCTGGGTGTAATAACCCCACTGGAAGCAAGTTCCCTACCATGGGAGTCTGAGGCAGAGCCTTGGGACAGGTCCCATGCTACCACCCCACAGCAGAGGATGCCATTCTGCCCTGTACTAATGACTCTCTAGGCACTTATATAACCCCTTCTGTCTCCTTACCCAGCCCTCAGACAGCCCTGCTATCTGATGCACCAAGAGCACCTGACATTGCTAACCAGCCTGCCCCAGCAACAGGTCTTGGTGCTGGAAGAGCCCAAGTAGAAGCCATCCACCTTCTGGTATAGCATTAGCGGCTGGCGCCCTTCCCCAAGTGAGCCTATTCCCCACCAACAGCACTGTCTTGGCCTGCTCTGCCAGCTAGTCTCCAGCTTTCCCTCCCCAAGGTTCACCCATGGCTTCCAGCCCTCCTCTGCCTACTCTGCAAACTGGAAGTGAGCAGGGCTGAGCAAGGAAATGGCTTGGTGTCACCAGTTCGTACCAGGCTCTGCACCTATTCTTGGTTCTTCCTCACTACTGATGCACTACATACACAAGCTGGAGGGACAGGAGACCCACAGCACAGGAGCCTCTCGCCATCCTCCCTACCTTTGTGGGGCCTCCTGGAAACTACAGCTGAGAACCATCAGCAAGCTGGACATGTGTAAAAGGACTGACTACTTTAGACTCTCTTCTTCATACATCTAATCATTCCTCCTCCTGTTTTCTCTGGGCAGGAGGAGACTGCCTTCCACCACTTGGAAAACTGGGCTGTGTGCCCCTCTGCCCTCCAATTCTCCTTGCAGGCCTCCAGCTGATGGTGCCAGGCAACTGACATCTCTGGAGGGTGGGAACCGGGTATTCTGCATATGAACACTCCTGGCCCCAGAGCCTATCCATTTTGTCTCCCAGTTCCTCTCTAGACACTCTCTTCACTTGTAATGTGTTTATAATCAACTGCAAACTTCTATCAGGGTATGTCCACATGTAGCTGTGTGTTGACTCCAGAACCTGGTTCCATTTTTTTTGTTTGTATTTTGTTTTTCAAAATGGAGAAAAAGAATTGTTAGTGACACAGGAAGATTGCCTTACCCTAAGTGAGCATGAGAAGCCATAAGGACTGAGTTCTATAGCCCAGCATGCAGGACTGACCTGTCCACCCAGAAGCCAGTGAGTATGTGGGTTGGAGGGGTAAGCCTACATCCCACCCCAAGGAAGGGTGCCCATGAGTACATCCAGGGCCTGGCTTGTGGGTGCAAAGTGCCAAGCAGCCCCTCTGGCCCATGGGAATTCAGCAGCATGTAGTCACTTGCACTACTCTACCTTCTCCAAGCCAAACATTACATTTAATTTCATAAAAAAACTTGTAAAAAATAAACTGGCTGCCAGCCCTTGTTTTCTATGGATGTCTATGCATTTTCTCCTCTGTATGCCCACCTTTCCTTAACCTGGAGTAAATAATCCCAGTAGCACCCAGAATTGGGAGTAGGGCCTCACCTAGTTGAGCTCATGCCTCACGGTTTTAGTGAAAAGAGGCTAAAGTGGCTAGGCTAACTACTTGAAAGATGCTCAGGGCCACTGGGAGCTGTCCAAGTGAGGTATGGCTGGCTCAGCCCCTCTCTCCCCTTAGGGCCTAGAAGCCCACTCCCTCCCTGACTGCTCTCAGAGTTTATATTTAGCTGAAATTAGCAAATGTGTTAGGGGAACAGGCAGTCCATAATCTTTCTGTGTCTCAGCATCTTCCTTAGTGAAAGGGGGAAGAATATGTCTTCCCAGGAGGACCTGAGCTACAGGACCAGAAGAAGAGGAATGAAGGTGGCTTTCCTCCCCCTTCCCACCTAGGGAAACAGTCCTCACAACCTGTGGCCTCCACAAACCCTTACACACTGCTAAGGTCAAGAGTACCTGGGAAGCAGCTGAGCACTACAGGGCTTTTGCTCGAAACCACTGGATTTCCTAACTTTAGAGAAACTACACCACCTCCCGGCAGGTAAACCACCTTGAGACAAAACCTACAGGGAAAAATCATGAAAACCATAATATGCAACACAAGTCAATCTTTATTCAAAACTGCAGTGTTAATACATAGCTCTTGTTACAATAAACGTGCTTTTAATATTTTTAAATCTAAGCTCATCTACTTATCAGATTGCATAAAAAATTAAAATAGTATGAATTTACAGACAATAGAACTAGATCAGGATGGACATTCCATTCCTTTGTATTGATTGACATCTGAGTTCAATGCAGAGGTGAGGGATGCCTTTAACACTGGAAGACAATGCTGACGTAAATTTAAAAATGTACCAAGAGAACAGTCTAAAAAACAGTATTTAGAAATGATTTAAAAAAATTTTTTTAAAGGAACCATTTCCTGGTCAGTCACAACCTATGTGGCTCCTTGGTGCCTCTCCTTCAAATGGCTGTCAGAACAATCCTGCAGGGTGCACAAGAGTGCTGGCCTCAGATCCAGTTTGACTATTCACTCATCTACACAAGGACCTAGGGAGACTCCAACAGGGCTCAGGAGGCAGAGATGAGCTGCCTATCATCTCCAATGTACAAATCCTGGAGAATACCATCTCCCATAGTTCATTCGGGTTCCCTGGATAGAGATGTCCACATCTCCTCTGTCCTTGTCCCAAGTGAGTTGACTTTAGTCCTGGGGACTTTTATAAAGTGATGACATCCATAGGTTTTCTGTTCAAGTGAATAGAGTGGATAAAGAGATAAATTCTCTGAAACATCTAAGATCAACTTATAACTTTCTACCTGAAAAGATCAGACCCTCCTCTGAAGCATGTCATTTGCAGTCTGCTCAAGTCACACACACACATACTTGAAATGTGTCAGAGAGGAAAGCTAAACAGCCTGCCCTTTCCCTAAGCCAACCACATTCCTATTTATAGATTATCCCCATTCCATAGAAAGCACCAGAAAAGGACCAGAAGTTGCCTCTCACCTCAAGCCATGCATCCTTAAACCACCCTTGCAACCAATGGAGGGTGTCTGACTGGTGTCCTGTCCTATATGGGCAATGCTCAGGCTAGCAATGACTGAGGCGCCCAGCTGCCAGATGGAGAGAAGGTGGCCTAACTGGTCCGAGTAATACTGTTTCCAAAGGACAGGAGAAATTTGGGTTTCCTTTTTAAAGCAGGCTCCACTATTGATGTGGCCTGTGTTTACCATCCTTCCACAATCAATCACTGGCAGGCACACTCACAGAAACCCACATAAAGGAATAACATTGCCAGATATTTGCATATCCAAAGTACCTTAAGAATATATTTCCTCTCATTATTAAAGTCATGATGCTACTCTAGAGAGCCAGGCATTGTCTGCCCAGCTTGGCAAGGACAGGATGCTTAATAACCAGGTGCCCATCCCAAGCCTTAGGACCTTCCTCAATCTCCTGTAAACACTATGTTTGTACAAAAGAAAGTCACAGAATAGCAACTGGTAAGTCTAATAACAACACCAACAAGAAGGCTCTGTAAAGATTTATCATAAGAAACATAAAAGGTTCTGGAAGTACCTATGTGCCTGTTTTATCACAAATGGCCCTGGCCCTGATGTTATCCTCCCTTCTCAGAGGCAGCAAGTTAATGGGATTATGGCTTGCTCATTGCTAAACACTCAGTCATCCAGTCCAGAGCATTTCCATAAGCAGGGAAACGGACCTCCTAAACTTTAGGAAAGAGGCTGTAAAAACAAAACAAATTAAATATCCATGATGATGTCCATGTTTATAGGAATTAGGATCCTTTGCTTGCCTGTCTCAATTTCTAAAAGAACTATAATTCAGCTAAAAGGCTCTCAAATTAGGAAGCAAAATTTCTTTGAATGTTCCACTATTGTGCTTTGGATATCAAATTATGCAAGTTTATAACAGGACTTTTATTCCTTAATTAATTTTACTAGAAAGAATTTAAAACGCTGCTAAAATTACAACCTATAATACTTTTACTATTCATAAGTCCAGATTCACACATACTAGACAAGGTCTACATTTCACCCATATTTGATAGCTGATGCCCTGATAGTTTCAACTGAAAAGGTATATTCCGTAACACAAAAGTATCTGATAAAGTCTCTCAGCTCAACTTGACAAAAGGGAAAAGGTTTAAAAAGAAAATTAGGGGGAAATGATACTGATATAAATGGGGGGAAATGAAACCCATTCTGCTTTCTCTTGAAAACACCATTTAATTTAGTGCTCATGAAAACACTCACCCTAAGTCTCAAGTACACCTGAAGAAACATCCTATATAACTTCTAATAGATTCTTCTTGATTTCAAATGTCTCCATCCCTAGGTACAGTGTGTGTGTGTGTGTGTGTGTGTGTGTGTGTGTGTGTGGTTTCATGCCATCTATCAGTTGTGTCAATTTATTAAGCAAGAGCCACAATCAGGAGCAAGAATATTCTTTTAAAAAATTTTTAAAAATTGATTTTTAGAGAAAGAGGAAGGGAGAAGGAGAAGGAGAGGGAGAGGGAGAGGAAGAGAAAGAGAACAAGTGTGTGTGTGTGTGTGTGTGTGTGTGTGTGTGTTCCCATTTTTTTTGTTTGGGGCATTTTAAAAGCATACACTAAAATCACATTTTCTCCTATCAACTAATTACACTAACTTGAGGAAACTGAGTTTTCTGTTACTTGTACCTGGAACCTATTGATATTACAAACCATCCACTATACAGAAGGAATTACAACGCAAAGTTTAAGAAGTGTGCACAAACTACACACACACGGGTTAAGTGCTTATGAAGCAATTTAAAGTTCTTTTTAGTAGACACACTATGTTAACAGGTATTAGGAATAAGAAATCTTTTCTTTTCATGATCCATGTAAAAATATTCCTAAACTTATTATAAAATAAAATGTGAAAAAAGTTACAAAGAATACTTACTATAAAAAATAAGATTACCAAAGGCTCAGGGGTGAGGTGTCCCACTCACCAATCTGGATGAAAGCCTAACCAAAATTAGAGCCCTGACCTAGTTGCCAGAGATATAAGAAGGGTAGACTCCCCTTCCCAACCAAAGCATACAGCTCTTGAAACAATGATGGGGTAGAACAGGGGCATATTCCTCCACCTGCCTGACAAACTGCTGAGAGGAGACAAAACCTCTTCTCACACTCCCTCTGACTCTATCCAAGAACAGACTAACTCCCATCAATATAAGTTGAACCCATGTTGTTGTTGTTTTTCAAAAAAAAAAAAAATTCCTCAATTTCTTATATACAATATTCATATTTTAACCACAAAGTCCATTCCATAATAATCCTTGGCAGGTAAATGAATTTTGATGCTGCCTGACCCTTTGTTGTCTATACCTGCTTTGTGCTAAGTGCTCTCAGTTGCCAGAAGAGATGGCAAAAGAGGCTCACAGACAATGGACATCAGACCTCCCCACACCTGTTTCCAGATGGTCTCAGAGGATTAAGTCTCCATCAAGTGGATAGGCCTAAACATAGTGGCAGCCTCACCCAATTTCAAATAAAGTTTTGTTCCCTTTTTAATAGTTCTTAAATATACAACTTTCTTCAGAACACACAGCTGAAATCTTAACCTTCTTTGTGGGGGAAAGAATAGCAATGCCTACATATATTTTCAGCTAACACAAATATTTCTCAGCAAAGAAAAAAAAGGGGAAGTGATTTTCTAAACTAAATCAAGAAGAGAACAATACCTCTTCCAAGTTTTTCTGTTTATTTCACTTATCTTCCATCCTAGGAAAATAACTTAATTCTACATAGGGCTTTTCCAATAAAGATATAGAAAACAGCATCTCTATCTGTAAAGAGCTTTGTAATGGTAATTCACATAGCAATCCAGAGAAAACTGGTTTGCTGATGGACAAACTGCAAATTGCCCGTAAATGTACTGGCCATACAACTCTAGTATCTCATGATAATCTTTTAAGAATGTCTACATCAAACTGATCCCGCAAGCCTAAATGAAAAGATAGTGATGCCCATTAACCTGGTTACCCCAAGTAGCTGTGGCCCACCCTATACTCTCCCAGACCCTACAACTCTCTCCCAGTGCAATCAGTATGAAATAAACTGATGGCTAAAAACTAAAATTCCATTTTTCCAACTGGCAACCTACATCTACCCCAAAGGATGAAGAATCACTTAAGAGATTTCAGATGCTCTATGAAGAAATTCACTTTAACACATCTTTAAGACTCTGCATACATTACAACACTGCATTAGTGATACAAATTACAAAATATTTTCCATTCCTTTGGATTTTGCATATGATGGTTTTGCATCAATCACTGCAGGTAGTTTGAGCAAGCTTTGTTTGTGTGTTTGTTTTTTTAAACATGCATTCAACTAGATATGATTTCAGAATACATTAATACTCCCTTTTCATCATTACAGTTAGCTGAAAAAAAATTGCCAGGCAGCCCCAAAACATGACTTGCTTTAAGACCAACCCATAGTTAGTTGGAGACTAATGGTGCTGAGATCTGCAAGACTGGACCATAGTAGTATTTAGCTAAGTGTTGAGAGCATTAAGAAGAGAAAGTCCTGGTTGGAGGCACAAGGCCTGCAGCACCAGCTGTGGAATATCCAGGATGTGACTGCACAGCTCCATCCTCAAACCTGGGCAGGAGGGAGAAAGACACACAATCACAGAGCTCCTCTGGCACTGCTGCTATGAAAAGGAGGCATTTCAATTAGAGGAGGAAGAAATCCAAAAAGGGCAGCAGAAAGAAAATGTTCCTGATACCCATGGACCTCACAGAGGCTTCCAGTTACAACTGGAATACTACTTATTTTGCAGGGCGGGTACAAGAAACATAGTATAGCAAGTACTCAATGGTTTCCTTCTTTTTTCTATTTTGTAGAGACCCAATATGAGCAAAAATTTAAACACTTGGATGAACAGTCAGGTAGCATTTTTCTCATTAGTGCTTAAATTATGGTAGACTTGCCATTCTCCACTGGTAAAAAAAATGCACTTTAGTCAAGAGCCAACCTAGGCTTCACCAGTCACTTACATTTGCAGGTGATCACCACTGAGGGGGCACGTAGCTGTAGGCGGGCGTTCCTGGACCCCGATAGGTGGGCACAGTGATTGGGTGGGGGGCGACAGGAGTTGGGGAGTGGGCAGTAAGCAGGGTACCTGCAAGAAAGAGGAGTGTGTGGCAGGTAGCACTGCCCACAGTCAAGGCTGTCCTTACATCATCACTACACAACTTTATGCTGCCTCTGACAAGGAGGGAGGTAAGGAAGAGGGAAAGGGCCTTGGACCTTGACTGCTGTCAGAACTCTGATTATATAAGAACTACTCAAAGATGTATAAACACTGAAAGCTCATAATGGTAATATATTTGTGGAAACCTTTATGCTTTCCTTTCATATAAACATACGCAATTATTTTTGTGGATCAGATGATAAAAGACAAAATAAAAATATTATTCAGCCTTAAAAAGGAAGAAATCTGTCACATGTTACAACTCATATGAACCTTGAGAACATTATGCTAGGTGAAAAAAACCAGTTACAAAAAGACAAATACTGTATGATTCCACTTATTTGAAGTCCCTAGAGTAGTCATTGATAGAGACAGAAAGTAGAATGCTGGTGTCAGGGGTTGGCAGGCAGGGGGAAAGAAAAGTTGTTTAATGGGAACAGCGCTTCAGTTTTGCAAGATAAAAAAAGTTCTGGAGGTGTTTCACAACAGTGTAAATATACTTAACACTACTGAACTGTACCCTTAAAAATTATTAATATGAAACAAATAAATGTAAGAGAGGGATTGAGAGAGATTCCAAACCATATAAACTTCAGAGTACATTAAGCTAAATGTATTTTTCCCTAACCTGAAGAAAAGGCAGCGATTATCTGAGTCCATTTGCAGACAAGCACTACCTCAAAAATAACAGCCTTCACTCTCTTCACTCTCCTGTCTCTCTGCCCACACTCATCCCATACCTGTCTTCCCTTCCATGTACCTGTCACAAACATGTACATGACAGAAAGTATAATCTCTTTTGCCTTCAAAGATAAGTATGGAAAAACCAAATAAAATAGAGACTAAGAAGAAACACCTTTCTCTCTGGCATGATTTTCTTAATTGAAGTAAAGTTTAGAAAACAAAGCGGGAACAATATATATATTTTTTTAATCCCAGTCCTGGGCAACCAAGTGCATCGTGTGTACCTGGCCCCTGCCACAGGGGTGCCAGGACTCCAGGTAGATGTGTCAACCCTAGCCAGGGTTCGCATCTCTCAGTGGTTTATTTTCCTTGGGAAATAAAGTCAATGAATGCCAAAGGATTTCTACAAGTAGCTGTGATGTCAATTAACACAAGACTAGCTTTCCTAGACAGACAATTTGGCCTGCAAAGGAACCCACACTAAAAGGTCCAATCCCCCAGAATATAAAGTTGCCCTTCTGCTTTACAAAGGAGATCTGGTCACAGAGGAGATGCTCACAGAGGAGATCTGGTCACTCCTAGTTCCTACTGTCAAACGGCTCAACTCAGCAACAAAGCAGCCCTCTGAAATTCAGAGAGTGCCATCCAGTCATACTCTACCAGGAGGGTACTTGGTTCATGATTTATTACTCTAACCCCCACTCCTGTCTTGTCTCAACTGAAAGGAGGAGGAAAAAAGAAAAATATAATATGCTATTCCATCTCAAAAGAATATGTCCTTCCACACAATTCTAGACGTGAAATATCAAGGTCAGGGGTCAGAGTATTAGTGAGCTCTCGCTTCCCAGCTCTCCTGCCACCATAGAACAGGAAACCCAGAGTCGACTCACCTGCCGACATGGCCATAGTGGTCCCAGCCACCATACCCATGGTGACCCCGTTGCCTCTTGGAGGAGGGATGGGAGCAGGGTACATTGTCGCCGGCATGCCGTTGGGCTGCACCACTGTGGTGTGGTGGATGACGTGAGGGGGTGCTGCATACAGGTGCTGTGTGTAGAATGTGCCTTGCTGTGGGGAGGAAGAACAACAACTTTAACAGGACTCTACACCCAGTGGGTAAGACCCCAGATGGGATCTACATATACAGTGCCCAAGAACAGTATCAAGAGCTTCACAGTGCACCCAAGGCCTACCTGTGCATATGGGCTTTGCTGGGGGTAGGCACTTCGCACAGGGTATACAGCAGTCTGGTATGGGTTGGGGGAGGAGGAATATGGTGGCACCGCCCCGCTGGTGGGGGAACAGGACACTTTATAAGGTGTGCCAGGAGTGTAACCTAAAACAAAGAAGCCCAATGAACTTTTCACAAATCCACATTTGTCAGACAAAAGGAAGGAACCAAGTATACAGTGATAAGCGACTCAGTTTTCCAGCCCTGACCAAACAACATATGACACCATTGTGGCCCCATATGAGCTCCACTAAGATCTGACTTCATTACTTAATGTATAAGAATGTGTGTGCAGGGTGGGAGTCACTTTGGAAGAAAGAATAAAAACAGAAGGAAAAAGTAATTCTGAAAGTACATTCACCCTGGCTGGCATGGCTCAGTGGTTGAGCATCTACCTATGAACCAGGAGGTCACAGTTTGATTCCTGGTCAGGGCATATGCCTGGGTTGTGGGCTCAATCCCTGGAGTGGGGTGTGCAGGAGGTGACCGATCAATGATTCTCTATCATCATTGATGTTTCTATCTCTCTCTCCCTGTCCCTTCCTCTCTGAAATAAATATATATTTTCAAAAAACTGTAGTACATTTACACAATACTATGCAGCTACAAAAACAGAGGTATCTTTTACCCTTTGAGACAGCATGGAAGGATTTGAAGAGTATTATGCTAAGTGATATAACCCAGTCAGAGAAAGACAAGTATTACATGATCTCGCTTATATGTGGAATCTAATGAACAAAATAATGTGACAAACAAAATAGAACCAGAGGCATGGATACATGGAACAGACTGACAGCTGTCAGAGGGGAGAGGGATT